CTACCTGTCTTTCGAAGACCGATAGCTTTATCCCTTGCAGCAACTAAGTTAGAAATCCAAACTCGTTTTTCCGCATCTGTTGAAGCCCGCAAGTAGTAGGTCCGCCCAGGATTTTCGTAAATTACAAAAGATGTTCTAGAGCTAGAAATACGCAGTGAAATATTGGCCAAATTTATGGTTTTTCTACATGAAAAAGGAACAGACTCAGTATTGCTACTAAATAAGTTTATCACTCAGTTACTCGTAATACGAAAGCAGTCCATTTTGAAGAACAAACCACCTCTTTTTGTAACCGCCAATGTAATTTGTCCATTTATAAAGCCATCCAGTGACAGGGGAATTGGTGGCACCATGTTCCATCAAGTTGTCCCAAAAGCCATCTGATTAACGCGGGTCAAGTCTAGCCAACTTTTAACATTTAATCCAAATAACCTTTTGTTATAAAACAAAATAAATATAAATCATGGTTAAATTAGTTAACTAATTAGCCGCATATTATGAAAGATCCTAAAACCCTGCTGTTGATTTCCCTCCCGTCTTTTCTAATATTCCCTGTGTTTGTCACTTTAGTACACTTAGTTTTTATATTCCCGTCTTTTGTGTCGACCAGGCATACAAACAATTGGGCAGTAATAGTAGATACTTCGCGTTTCTGGTTCAACTACAGACATGCTAGTAACGTTCTTGCTTTCTACCGAAGTATCAAACGATTAGGAATACCCGATAGGTAGTTCTCCATAAAATATTGCCTTCTTAGCCGAATTATTTTGATGCTTGCTGATGATGCAGCGTGTAACTCTAGAAATCCTCGGCCAGGTCAGATTTCGATTCTATCTCTTATTTGTTATAGGCACGATATTCCATAGTGCATACAAGCCAATCAATCTTTACGGAGAAGATATTGAAGTTGACTATAGGGGCTATGAAGTAACGGTTGAGAATTTTATACGCATTTTAACTGGCCGTTTGCCTCCTTCGACACCACCCCTAAAGCGTCTCAACACCGATCAATTTAGCAATATTCTTATTTACATTACTGGGCATGGAGGTGATGGTTTCTTGAAATTCCAAGATGAAAATGAAATATCTAGTTTGGAACTAGCAGATGCTATTGAGCAAATGTGGCAGAAAAGGAGGTATTTGCAAGAGTTAACCCTATTTTAGGTATAATGAAATCCTACTTATAGTTGACACTTGCCAGGCCGAGTCTATGGCCTCTTTAATTTATTCACCGAATGTGCTAACTATCGCCAGCAGTAAAGTTGGTGAAGATTCTTTATCAGTGAGGCTTTTGCATTTGTAATTTTTCTTCAGCATCATATGGATTCAGATATCGGTGTTTACGTGGCTGATCGTTATTCATATTATGCCATGGAATTCTTGGACAAAATTGAGTATAATAGCACCGCAACAATGGCATCTTTTGTGAGCCAGTAATTATATAGTTGTATTTTATGCTAGCGATGCAAGAGTGCATATAAGAGGAAATAAATTGAAATGTGCCTGTTAGGAATCAGGACTACCCTCTCATCTCAGGCCACCTTACCCAAATACCTTTTCAGCTTACATTTTTTACTAATTTTTAATCACCCTTTACCATTCCTTAGTTATACATGAACCTTGCGACTACTGACACTTAATTAGTATTGTTAATAGAAGCATTTCATGCTATCTCGGAGCGTATTTTCGCGCACTTTACTCGTATTT